TCTAGACAAGATAAGACATTTCAAGAATCCCTGCTACTCATGCTCATAAAGGAACAACAAAGAGACAGCCTTTTGTGTAACACTGACGCTGAATTGCTCCAACTGTGAATTTAACACCAGGGACTTACTTGTCATCACTTCCGAAAAAAACCCACACTTCAGCACATTATGTGCTAAAAGCATAAGCTGATCCTTAACTATATAAAAACAGAAACTAAACAAATCCAAAACAATACTTTAATGTATACTGCATGCTATTAAATGCAAAAATATTAAAAAGCAAATTAAATTCTTACATCAGCAACCGATGAATATTCATTGACCAAATTTTCTGCTGATCTATTCTTAAGCACCCAGACCAATTTTTAAAACACGTATTTAATGGGCTTCTACCCCACCATGCTCAGACAACCTATAATGCCAAATTTTAAAATAATAATTGTGGAGGAAAGAGGGAAAAGTATGTTCAAAGGCATAAGGAAACACCGAGCTCAAAAAACAAAAACCCAACAACCCAGAAAGCTCACTATTTTTCCTGTTAAAAGCTCCGTTCAAAGTTTCTGACTGCTTACAAATAGAACATCAAAAGCTGCAACATGAATCTAGACCCTACTTCATGGCACATATTAAAACATGAGACAAGCATTAATGCTGCAGGATTTTCATTAAGCGCAAAGAGGTACAAAGATGAAAAAGAAGATGCACCGGGATGGAAGGGATAAGTTTTCCCAGTACCTGCCACATGGAAGTGCCAGGAAAGATCCTGTTCTACCAACAGAGCCAGTGGCAAAGCCAGCAGATCCTGAGAACTCAGCTGTTCCCTGAGAATACCTGAGCCCACTCCAGACAGGGCAGGTCTCTCACCTCCCCAGGTGAGGCCAGCCAAAAGCAGGGGACCATAGCAAGGAGCTGGGGCTCCACAGTTCAAAGACAGGAACAGGAAACTGTCATGAGGAGCAGGGAGCAGAAACCATGTCCTTGATGGAAAGAAAGCATGTACTGGAGAACAGCATGCAGGACCGATGGCAGCTGAGCTCAGAGAGCAGTGAAATACTGAATTAGGCTGTCCAGAGAAACAGTGGAGTCTCCCTCCCTGGAAACATTAAGAACCTGATCGGAAGTCCTATTTCAAGAAAAGATTGGCCCAGGTGAGATCCCATCCAACCTAGATGTTTCCATCATGCGGTTGCTATGCCTGTCATTTTGGAGATGGGACCAGAGAATTCCAGGATCTGCGGTCCCAGTTCAGCAATGTTCTCAAGTGGTTGTGCATCTTCAACCATCTACTCCTTCCCAAGTAATATTGGCAGATTTCAAATTAAACACATGCTTTGGAGTTTTTCCTCATTTGGGAGCCACACGGGTAATTCCTGGCTCTGTTCAGTGTCTGGATTCTTCCGAGACTTTATCCATGAGCAAAATTGCTATTCTCCTTCCTCTCTACACATCAGCTTCCATTAATACTTACAAAGCAACTGCAGAATCTTAAAAGATAGTCACTGAATAGTAAACAGCAACTAGCACTTGTTTGACAATTTTTAATCCTGTCATAGTCAGCACACAAAGGATTTTTGTTTTCTTCAAATTACATGATTTTACATGAATGCCTGCAGTAAGTCCACCATCAAACAAGCACTGTACAAACAGTTTGCTGATGTACCAGAGCAAGTATTTACAATAATGTTCCACTTAAAATTCTGAATTTGGTGATTGTGTTATTGTAACTTTGAGGAAAGGTAGAGGGAACTTTACAGAAGAGTGATATGTAAGATACAGACATGGACTGACGTAAACAGAACACGTGTATGAATATTTCATTCAACTGCTTAAGGGATTTTTTTTTTTGTCACTGTTTACCTGAAATAGTACCATATATGAAGTAAAATTGGGAAATTTTGGAAAATTTTACTCTTTTTCCTGGTTGGAGATTTGGAGGCAGATGGATATGGAGAGGACAAAGCAAAGAAAGCTTTATCAGGAGTCTGAAAGAACAAGAATACCTGGGAATCAGGATGAGAATAAATACAAACTGAAAAGTAACATGACTAGATCTGGTGCTCCAAGAGAAAGCAGAAAAACTTGGCAGACAGAAACAGAAGAGGTCTGATGGATAGAGCCTATGAATCAAGCCTCACTTTCTTAAACACCAACTGGACCCTCATCAGTTCTTAGACACATACGCAGTGGCAGAAGAAGTTATTTCTACCCTGCCTGATTTATTCATTTAAAAATGCTTTAATAGCTGTCCAGTGAAGAAAACCAATCTTTCGGGAATCTTGCTTTGCAGAAGGATTACAGCTTCACCATTTTTGGTGTATAACTCTTTGCAATAAGTATTTTACTTCAGTAATCGTTCCATAAAATTACATTCCAGAAATAATAGACTGTAACTAGGTACCCAGAAGCTATTTTAAACACCTGAACAAAAATCAACTGAAAAAAGAGTCCACAGAACAGGAAAGATTGCTGCTGCTACTTGTCTTCAAGACAAATCAGAAACAAATTATATAAAAGCTTTCTTACAAATGTATTCCATATTTCATTATCAAGTCAGTCTTCCTATTCCTAACGCATAGCTTGCAGTTCACTTTTAAGAATTAAATGCTACATCTATGGAAATAATAGAGCATGACTCGCAATAATATTAAATTTGCATGTTAAAGACCAATTTTACTGTGCAAACAACAGAAACATACAGTTAAACAGTGGTAAACCCAGTATAAATTATATTGAGACGTTCCCCCACAACACTTTCACTGTGCATCACACCACAGGACTGCAAATTTAGTTTCTATTCCCCTCTTTGCTCCCTCTCCCATTGTCAAAGGTGGAGAACTCAAGTCACACAGAATTAAACCAATTCTCTTTTAGATGCTGACAACTCAAAGTCAATGGAACAGTGTACAGATTTCTAAAGAGAGACTGCTACAATATACAGTAGGAAGAGCCACAGTATTTCACAACTATGAAAATCATTAGGACTATCATAATACATTTTCTGGACTCTTTAAATTCCTGAAGCAGAAGTTACTTTAAAACATTCATCTGAAAAACACATAGGTCATTTTACATGCTTATGTTTAAATGTTTAAATACATATCTTCTCTGGCTCTCAAAAAATTCACAGTACCCAATTTTATAAAAATGTAAGAATTTTGTTCACTTTAATAACATGTATTGAAGATGCTTCCAGTATCACTCTAAAATCATACTTCAATTCTGTGGAAGCTGACAGCTTCAATATTCAAATCAACAACAGAGAAACTGGTTGTATGAAATCCAAATCCTTTTAAGTTATTCCCTAGGCTTTTCTGAGCCAAGTTCCTGAAAGTATTCTGTTTTACAGAACATAATCTAGATTTCCTTAGAGATAAGTGCAAACTCTACCAAACATAATAACATGAGATCACATTGAAAACAACATTTGGGTTTTGTGCCCAAATTTTCACCTGTCTTCACTATAAGCCTGTCCTCAGGACCTAGTGGCAGATCTTCGTGGGAAATAAACCAATCACAGATTCAGCAGCACCAGGCTACATAATCACGATTTCTATTTTTTAAAAAGCTGCTTCTAGTCTTTTCAGTTGGCCATTTTTAAATAGCCATAAGTTTATGCATTTAGTAGTAGCTGATTTAGGCTGCACACAATGTTGTGATCCAACACACAAGGATAAACAAACTGCATCATGACCCTCACAGTGACAGCACTGGCTGTGGTTAACTCCATCCCAGTCAGACCCAGCACACATGCAAAGCCATGCTCACCAGGAACATGACTATGCAAATTCAACATTAAAAAACAAAAATAAACAAAGCCAATTGAATAGAAAATTCTTTTTCAAGTGTCCAGAAATAAGGAACAACAGTGTTACAGTACAGGAAATGGGCTCACAGGCAACAGAACAAAAACCACCAGAATGGATGATTACTTGAAGATGTTATTATGAGATAATCGTGAGGGGTAAAAGTAAACTATATTTCTCTTCCACCCATCCCAAGCACACACTGCAAACATTGTAAGTCAGAGCAAGTTTGAGGAAAGTAATCTCTTTCTGCTGCCCAAACGATAAACTAAATGCAATTTCCAGTGTTAGGCAGAGTTGCATTCACCTCAGAAAGATCAAGTCAGAAAAATCTCCAAGCTCTCCATTTAAAGTAACAAAGCTATGAAAACAAAACACTTTGATTGTTTACGACAAAGGAAATTGAAGAGGTTATTTTAGATAATTTCCTTACCGTGATGTGATATGAAAGACATGAATAAACTTCCATTGAGTCTCCTAAAAAGCTCAACATTACAAGAAGAGTAATAGAAATCTTGTTTCATATTAAATCAGTCCCCAGGTACTCAACACAAGAGAAAATAATACAAGTTTTGAACGCAATATCCCTCCCTCATCCAGATATAAAACACTGTTGTCAAAGCAAAACTTAAAGGTTCATAATCTTCAGAGAATGATGAAGGCACTGAGAGTCAAAGCTGATTTAAAAAAATCCAAATATTAAACCCCAAAGAACCAACCTCCCTACCCCTCTGCCCAAAATCCAGAACAACAAAAAAACCCAACAGGCAGTTTTTAGTGTTCAATCCCAAACTGTATATATTTAAGTTAAGGAAATTACAGTGTAAAAGTAATTTTTGATAATTTGATCTCACATAAAGCCTTGCTTTTTAATTACATGTGAAATTATCTGTATTATATTTGATTTTGAAACAATTATTCAAAGAAGCAGTCATTTCCTTGGCTTGCAAAATAGCAGGTGTTGCATGCAAGTTACAGAAAACTACCACCAATTCCCACGTGCAGATAAATGCCATGCTTCTTCAGTAACGTACCGAATTAAATAGATGGAGATGTTATCATCACATCATCTCATGAAATCAGATTACATTCATATTACGCTCCAGGGAAGAAGAAAATAAATCAACATATTTCTAGCAGATCAAACAACTACACGGATACTGTATCAGTGACAAAATGCCAAGAGGACTGACTCACCTGCTCAATCTCCTTCGTCTTAGTTGCAATTGCTTTTGAGCGGCAAAGAAGCTGGCCATCCTCATATAATTCCGTGCTATCCGTTATATTTGTTTCTGTTTCCTCTGTTTGTTCGATGTATAATGGAGCGGAAGATCCAGCCTTAAAAAAAATTTTTAAAAAAATCAGAGTTTTGAGAGTAAAATAAAAACTTCAAAGTATGACAGCAAAAGTAAAAACCCAAAAACAGTCAGTTAGATATGGCTTTGCTTATCAAGACTATTAGCGACATTTTATTGCTACAATCTAACAGATATAGAAATAGGGATTTTAAGCATGTATAAAATGTGACATCATAAAAACCCCTATGATTCAGTCTTAACTGTGTAAAGACAATGATGTCAGATAACCTTTACCTGCCCTTCTGTGGAGAAGGAACTTGTATACGTGATATTTAGAAGACCAGCTAGCAAGAAATCCACAATGAAAGTGGGATTAGCTTTCTCGGGAAGGACATATGTAACAAAATGGAAGGTAAATAGGCAACGACAAAATCAAAATGCTGTCAGAAAGAGCTCTTGCACCATTCAGGGCCACATGTTAAATAATAAAGGAAACAGAGATACCTATTGTATAGCAAAAGCAAACATGCGCTTAGGTGAGTCCTGGTAATATGAGAAATTCTACCGAAGTACTGAAATTGTATAAACTTCTCTCTAAAATAAAGATTAAGACAGTAGCCCTTCCCCCAAAAAACAGACTCCCACCCCAAAGAGTCTACGTTGACGATGCAAAACCAAAAGAAGTTACTACAGCACATTTAAATGTGGTATTATGGAAAAGATTTGTAGAATAGTAAATTATTTTTTTAAATAAGATTTGAGAATTGAAGAACATGCATAAAAGTATTTTTCTATTATTAAAAAATAAAGAGGTGAAGAATCTTAAGGCTAATCTCATAGAAAAGAGAGAACATTAGACAAAGAAAGGAAGCCTAAGTGGTGCTATTAGCACTAGAGCAATATTAACCATTAAAACTGCATCCCTAATCTTGTAACTGCAGTAAATCATGAAATACCCGAGAGGGAGTAAAGGCTGCTGAAAAGCTCAGTGCAACACAAAGTTCAACTATTAAGCACTACTTAAGATAAACTGGAAAAAGTTAAACAGGGTTGCAATTCATACATGCCAGGCTACCCATCAAGGCCAGAAGCATCCTTTCTTCCAGGACTCACTTCTTTAGCATTCCTGTAGCACACTTTCTTAGTCAATAAATCATCCCAGCCTCTGCCATAATCAACTACAATTGCTTCATTTTGAATCTTTAGTGGAATCTTTTTGCCACTGCAACTTTCTGAGGCAAAGAGGAAGGTTTAAACAACTCTTCTCCATATGGCCTACTCTGTTCTTTCCTCCCTTGCATCACCTTCCCCCCACCAAGAGCAGGAGTGACATTTCTCTTCACTATTCCTCTCCTGAACCTCTCAGAAATGTCCATGCATATGTTCTCCTCCGTATGGCATTCAAGCTTGGATCGGCTTGCTGCTTCTTTTTCCTCACTTCAAACCCTCCTCTCCCCAAACCCCATTTTTTTTTTTAATTGGAGGGAAATGAACAGGTTTTTTTATCACACTGGATCTTCCTGTCCAGCATCAAGAAGCTGTTGATGCACTCAACCATTACATCAATGGACATGACTTAAAAGGTCAGATAAACATGGATCCAGGGAGTTTATTTCTCCAGTCTAGCCCTTAGGTTCCATAAGTGTGAAATACAAGGGGGAAGTCTGGTGCTTCCCAAGAGGCGTTTATTTTCCCCCAAATTATTAAAAAAAAAAAAAAAAAAAATTATAACGTTTAAGACTCATGACTTTTTATAAAGTAGGCACTATTTTGCTCTTGTAACAGTGCCTCACTCTGAAGTTGGACAAAGTGAACCTTGAAGACGAAATGATCACAGAATTAAGACAGACTGTTTTACAAAAAGACATTACATGACATTTGGTTTGTTTTAAATGACAAATACATCTTCCACTAAGACAGCAGAATCCAAAACCAGGCATCATCACCAAGAGCAGCATAACAAAACAGACTGAAAAGGGCTATAATCACACTTCAGTATAGCAAGGGGTAGAAGACAAGGCAAGGAAAGAACAGATGGATATAAACAGGCAATTATGTTGATTATTAATGAAACAAAGGGGGTGGGGGGTGGGGTGGAAATCTACCTAGTGCAGTACCAAGGCAAAAGCTTGATTTTTAATACAGAGGACTGCTTTCTGAAAATGACACGTGACATAGCAGGCTGACATGGCATGGAACTGAACTCAATAAACCAGTTTCTCTTTTAGTCTTATGTTTTACATGTAAACTCGTAATTTGACTCAGAAGTCAATTTTAAGGAATTGAGTTCGTATACACAATTAACTAGTGCAAGAGTTCCATGGAGAACCCCTGGGAGAGGTGAAGGCTTATTTTGTCAGTTGTAGCTCAACATGAATTCAAACTATACTAACAAAACCTATTCTGGTTTTGTGGGGTTTTTTAAATAAATAAATCACAAGGCTTTAGTTTCCCTCTCTCTCTCTCTTTCAACAAACATCTAATAGCATAAGCAGACAAATTCAGGAATAAGTTACACACGTGTCTTTTAGGAGAGTATAGAAAAACAAGAGTCTATTGTTGTAACACTTTAAAATAAATTGATTAATACTCCTGTCTTACATCATACTCTGTTATTTCAGGTAAACTGCTTTCATCGGCCTTCTCTGACTTTTCAGCTGCCCACTTGCTTGCGGCTTCTGCAAGTTCCTTTTCTGATAGTCTGTTGCTCTTCTCCAAGGCCTGTACAAAAACATTATTGTCAAGGTTTAACATGAAATATATTTACACATGACAAAACATCTTCAAAACTAAAACGAACGGTTATTCAAATCCACAAAATATTTTAAAATAGAAAAAATAAAAAGCTAAAGCGATTTAATTTGCTGGCTGATTTCTTTTTAAAGAAAAGCGTGTGGGGAGAGAACAGAAAAAAAAGAGGAGAAAAATGATAAATCAATTAAGTTCAGTAAAATATTTTTAAAAAGCACCTTACTTTCAGGATCAGTTTTATTAAATTCACAAGACAGAGATAACAGAAAAATTATTTGAAACCAGTTGAGTTTAAAGAGACATAGATCAAATAGGCACTAAGATACAAATGTGGAGTGACCTAATAATTCAATGTGATTTTCAGATATAAAAGGTTGTAACAAATTTAAACTAAACTATTAAATACTGTGTAGGGTATAAAACCTAACTAGTTAGGGACAAAAAGTATTTTATACATACTTTAAATGATCAGAGCTTCTTCCATTAAAAATAACTATTCTTTATCTGGGGGGAATGTTGATCATTTATAATAGAGTCAGTCGGGGCTTTGTGGCCTTTTAATCTACCTTTTCAGATGGAAATACTCATATAAGTATTATTTTTAAATTGAGATCAAAGAATACAATTTGGCTTTTACTAACAGAGGCACAAACAGACAATGACAAATACCCATGTACCAAAACCATTTTAGGAATAGATAGCTTTATAAATCTTGTTACCACTATGTAGGTATTTCATTTGAATCAATTGTATGTAGAGAAGCATCCATCCAGGAATCTATACAACTCCAGGATTAGAAGCTGCAACACTAAGGTGGATATCTAAAAAAGATAAAAATCCTACTGCCTGAAAAAGGTTGTCACAACTTCTACCCAATGCCTGTTCCATCTCAGCAAACAGAGGTACCAAAACAAGCAAATAAACTCCAAAATTACAAAAATAACACACCACCTCGTATTGTTAGTTCATTCTAAATTACATAAATGGCCAGAGGAAGCAAATACTGTGACCTGTGACAAGACTGCTTCATCTTCAGACCTTTTGTGCTTACCTCAAGTAAAACATTATTCAAACATCTATCTGTGCTGCAACAGGGCACAATTACACAACTCACACAACTCAGAACCCTTTCAGGATGCTGTCATGAAAGACACCACCTTTAACTGAAACCAGAAGAGAAGTGCAACACAACATTCAAACAGGAATCCCTCTTTTCTGTACTTACAGATTACTGAATTACAACCAGAGAAGTCAGGAGGTGACAAAGTTCAATATGCAGGGGTACGAAGAGGACTCTTAAAAGAAGAGAGTAATATATTTCTATAGAAATATAGAAAGGGGTATATTCATAGAATAGTTAGCCCAGCTCACCTTTCCAAACTACACAATTCTTCTTACACTAGTCTCACTACAAACTATCTGCTCTCAATTTTTTCCTCTCATGTTTATTCCCCATACTATGCCTGACTTTTACCTAACTGTCAAAAAACCCTGCATTATGGCACTATTACGAATCTCTCCCTTTCCTCAAATCTAGCTCTGGACAATAATAACAAAAGACAAGACCAGTAGTATCTTTGTCACCGACAGTCAGCTTTGCATGAAATGAAGATAAATAAAATCTCACATGACTTACTGTATTTCCACAAGCCATAAACAGAAAGTAAGAACCCTAGTATCTACTGGAATATAGCAAAAGCAATCTGGTTTTAATCTCATTAAATTTAATTCTGTAGGTTGCATATCAATAAATATGTATTAAAAAATCCTGAGTGTATTTTATGTAATAACGCAACAGTATTTCCACAGGTACATTATGACTGAAGAACAGGAGCATACTTACTCAGGCTGCAGACTTGCAAGAAAGGAACAACCTACAATAGCTTGTAAAAAACCACCAAATTTCATCCCCTGCCTAAAACCAAGATGTCTTTTTTATATTTTTTTGTTGTTGTTACATTACGCATAGCATAAGGACAGCAAAAACCTGTCAGGTTTTGCTATTTTTGCTGTGAAGCTTTCCCTGTCTCACACATCTGCCTTTTGCTCTAATTATATTGGATACAGCCTCCAAGGCTTGCAGTCCAGACAGCTATTAAAGAGAAACACAAATAATTTCATGCCATAGTCAATTAAACAGGTGGTTAAGATCAGATAATACTAACACATTAATTCACATGCATGAATATGCAAAAAATAAGTGTTAAGATAGATAAGAATACTTTTTCACATTTGCACATAGTTACTGCAGTGAAGAGATACTGCTGCACGAGTGTACACCTCTAACTATTTCAAAGCTAAACTGTAACTTAGAGCATAGAATTTTTTTCCTTCAACCTATAAAATAAAGTATATAACTCATTTCTCAAGTCTAAGTAGATTGTAGGACCCTGGCCTTAGAACTGTTCATCATGTTCTGCCAAGACTTTTCCTGGCAATATTTCTAGGCCAGTGAAGGCCTTCTGTAACTTAACTGGTCAGTGTAATCCAGCCATCACCCCAAGAGGTTCCACTGACACAAGACCATACGTTACAAGCAGATATCCGTTACCACAGGAGAAAAGCAATAAAAGGTCACACTTCCATTTCTGCAGCTGATCCATACCCAATAAATATTTGTGTTGTCGGGGGAAGTGATTTCTTTCGAATGGTTTCACTTTGTGTAGCTTACATCAAGTGGATATCCACCACCAGCAGTTTGTAAACTGCTGGCAAAAAAAAAAAACCAAACAACACAGCATAGATGAGACCTGACTGAAGAAGAAAGCAAAGCATTTAAAGAATATTTTACAGTTCAAGCTCACACCGCATATTAATACAAGAGCAAGAGATTTTGCAATGCCTCCTTGTCCTCAAAGGCTTGTATTAAGGAAGGATTTGGTATTAAGCTGTAGTATGCTGAGTCTGTAAACAAAATAAGTGAACTAATTAAAAGTTTATTTTATAATCCAAATCAGTGTAACTTGTGCATAACATCTTTTATCTTACTTTCCTGATTTACATTGCTGAAAATATGTTGCTTGTCTCCCCCCTTAAGGACATTGGCAGTCAGCTAACACCTAGCACAGCAGTTCTGAAAGAGCTGCGTAAGGGGTAAGTACTTACAATGTCATCGCACAACCAAAGCCTGATTTTTTCCCCACCTAATTATTTCCTTCAGTCTCACCTTCTCACAAGAAGCCCCTTTCTTTCTTCCTTTTTTTTTTTTTTGGTTAAGGCATTCCACTGCTTTTATTAAAAAGCCCTCAAGAACCCGGCTAGCATACCATGCTACCTACGTAGGATGAATGCTGCTTTTTAATAGGACATTATTCACTTAGAACAACATAATGCATTGTATCTTAATTTCTCATTAAATTATTTCTCAAGAATTTAGAGAAAATACTCCTGTGGAAGTGTTCATTTTAACCTCAAATGTAATTTACAGGCAAGCAGTCTGTGATGTGAAAAGGTTTTTGCTGCCACAGGACAGCCAGAACAACATTGAATGTTGATTGTTCATTAGTGTTTATTAGCCTGTCTAACTAATTAGCAAGATTATGCAGTTGGTGGTCAGCCCACAAGATTTTTTTAATGGGAAATTAAAGAGCATCATTTAGAACATAAAACGGCATTTACCAAACTATCTGGCAATGTGGTTCCCTTCCAGGGTAAATGCTACCATTCTTGCCACATCCAGCTCTGCTATCCACATTATCTTCCCAGTCAGTCAGACACTTCACCACACTGTTTCCAAATCCAGTCACAGCTTAGGAATCACTGAGGGATGGAGTTCAGTGCAAGTACAGGCTTGGCCAACTTATCTGTTGCTCCTAAAAACTGTTTCCCTGTTTTTCTCCTTGACATTCCTTTTCTAGCACACTCCAGACTTTGGAAAATGACAATTTTAAATACATACAAAACTTTCTTTCTTCTAAAATGAGACATAGAATACAGAATAAAAGTGTTTGTTGGTGTCATTACTAGATACACAGCATTATCAGCATTTTCCTCACAGATAGGTAAACATATCCTCTGCTGGAGTGTAGTGCAATTCATGCTGCTCCTTTCCTTAACAGCTGCACACAGCATCTCCTTCCAACCGAGGAAAAGCTCCAACAACAATGAGCAATCTGGAACCATGGTGAGAAGTACTCAAAAGGAAAATTCACCTTAGATGGGGGTACTGCTGTGGAGCCTGAAGGTGATGTATCTCTTGATGTTTTCAGTGACTGAACTGACATCCTTTCTTTACCTACAATTAAGAAAAAACAAAGAGACTGTAAAATTATATTAGAGAGACATATGTTGCAAATACACTTACTAGCTTAGAAGAAATGGAGTGAAATTCACTCAAGTCAGACAAGAAATTACACAATTCACCATCTGACAAACATTGGTAACACTCTCTACAAAGAGACAAGAGACACAGCTGTATTATTTCACATATTTAGGAAATCCCATTGTCCTTACAAAGAGACTGTAAAATTATATTAGAGAGACATATGTTGCAAATACACTTACTAGCTTAGAAGAAATGGAGTGAAATTCACTCAAGTCAGACAAGAAATTACACAATTCACCATCTGACAAACATTGGTAACACTCTCTACAAAGAGACAAGAGACACAGCTGTATTATTTCACATATTTAGGAAATCCCATTGTCCTTTTT